TCAATTTTTAAAATATTAGCTCTTCAATTCTCCCCTAACTTTTCACCAAGGGTAGAAATAACAGCATTTGTATTTGCCACGATATGCCAGATTATGCTATAGTAACATCCCTAGTTCTCTGATTTTAAAAAACAAGTTATTATTCGTACTAAATTCTCTTTCTGTGTTAGAAGGAAAACTTTACTGTGGGTTTTTTTTTTTTTTTAATTCCGTGATCCAGGATGACAGGTGCTTTAACATCTGGAATATCATAGTCTTAATGGCCGAGAAGAGTCTTGGAGGGTCTCACACTTGTCATTTCTTTGGCCAGTGCATGTCACGTGGCCATATCTGATTTCGAGAAGAGTGGCTAACAAAGTACATGGAGCTAAACAGCAGAGATTAGTTGTATTATGGCATCCAATAAAGGTATTCCAGAGGTCTGTTCTCATTTGAGGGTCTTGGATGCCCTAAATGAGCACTTTATCACACAAGTAAGTAGCATCATTTGATTTTGGGCAACTCAGGTGAATAAAATTAGGACGTGGTTAGACACTAATAGCTGACTGCTCCGATCTGAGTCAAACTTTCTACAAATTAGAGTTGACTTGTGAGCAATTGCCTCAAAGATGATAGATTCCTACATAAAAAGTTAAAGTTGTTGTGGGGCACAGTGGTTCACACCTGTAATCCTAGAGGCTTGGGAGGCTGAGGCAGGAGGATCTCTAGTTCAAAGTCAGCCTCAGCAAAAGCAAGGCACTAAACAACTCATTGAGACCCTGTCTCTAAATAAAATACAAAATAGGGCTGGGGATGTGCTTCAGTGGTTGAGTGCTCCTGAGTTCAAACCCAAGTACTCCTCCAACCAAAAAAAAAAAAAAAAAAAGAAGTTGTCCATTATAATGACTATTGTGAAGATAGTTCATAGATTTTGCTGAAGTGCTATTTTGTGTAGTTTTAACACTCATCTGCTCCACTGAATCTGTAAAATAGATATATATAGCATATATATAGCATAAATGAGCAGGTATGTCAGAAGGTTTGGAATGAGTTTTTCCTTCCTTGATAAATTACCCACAGGTGAGATTTACCAAATGACTGGCAAACCTTGTTTTATGACTTTTCCTGGCTCAGCTACCCAGGAAGAAATGTCTGTCCAGTGTAAATGTACTTACTATTTCTCCTGTGAATGCCTCACTTTCTACTCTACCAACCCATGTCAGGAACCTTGAAATCCCAACTCAAAACTCAAATCTGCAAGTTTTCCTCAGCTACTCCACTCAAGTCTGCAGATGAGAAATGTGATTGATGAGTACTTTATTTTTATTCAAGACTTTCTTGGACCATCAATATTTGATTATTTTTAAAAATATAACAAAAAATTGTATGAGCTTAAGATCTTTTATGGAAAATTTTAAATATTTGGAAATAGAATAGTATAATGGGCCTCCAAATACTGATGATTACTTTAAATAGAATTATTGTTCAATTTTACAGCCCTACAATGAGGATATTGTCTTTATTTCACACATTATGTGGAAGAGCAGTGACTTGCCCCAGGTACCATAGGAAGCAAATGGCAGAAAGGAATTCAGGTCCAGGAATGTTTGGCTTCCTGTTATTCTGGCTACCCCTACATTTGGTGACATTGTTAGTATGAAAGTTTCTGTTTCTTAAGTGTTTTTACGCACAAATGCCATTTTAATTATTTTTTTAATATTTATTTTTTAGAAGCAGTTGAACACAATATCTTATCTTATTTATTTATATGTGGTGCTGAGGATCAAACCCAGGTCCTCGAACGTGCTAGAGTGCTAGACAAGCGCTGGTGACGAGTTCTTGCTTCCCCAAATGCTGAAGTATAACACCAGAGAAGCACGCAGAGGCAAGTGTAGAGTGGAAAGTGGAAGCCTTTATTAAAGGATAGCAGAAAAGATTTCCTCCTGGAGGAAGAAGGAGACCCTCGAAAGGTGGAATCTGAGGGCTAGGGATATAGCTCAGTTCGTAGAGTGTTTGCCATGCATGTACAAGGCCCTGGGTTCAATCACCAGCACCAAAAAAAACAAAAAACAAAAGTGGAATCTGTATTATATCTTAGGTCTTCTTTTAGTCCTCCCACGTGGGAATGCCAAAAAGTGGGAGAGAAGTGGACTGATGGGGCCGGGGGACTGATGGTTTGATTAGTACCTCCCTGTTTGCTGGGAGCTACTTCATTAACAGTTCTTTAGGATGGGTTCTGGGCCTTGGGGACATTAATTTTTCAATTTTCCCGGCTGTTGTTCTGGTTTCCTGGACTCCATTCTCGATAATGGTCTCCATTTTCTTTATCTTACTCAATGTCAGACCCAATTTACCTAACTACACTAACTACCTATTTTAAAATCTGGCTTCACTTGTCCCCATGCCAATTCAATAACAAGGACATGGTTTTGAGAAAAAGGAAAAAGAAGTTTTATTGCTTTGCTAGCAAAGGAGAAACACAGGGACTCCTGTTCCAGAGGCTGTGATTCTGCTCATCAGGGAAAACTGAGGACTTTTAAAGGAGCTATTCAAAGGGTACTTTCCAGGTGTGCTCTGGTAGGGGGTCCTAGGGACCCCTAATGGCGTGTTAGAATTCACTTGTTAATTTGGGAGACATTCTCTTCCCAGATCCTCTGGCAGACATCTGCTTCCTGTGGAGCACAGGTAACTCAAGGTAATCTTGTTCCCCGCCCCCAGGTTAGGGAGAGGGAGAGGAAAAGAACTTGTCTTTTAAAACTAAGCCTCAGAGCATATATTCAGAGTTTATATTCCAAAGATGAAGTGGACCATTGTTACAACCTGAAATAGTTATGATGTATTTCTTGGGGTGCTATGATGTATTCTTACAATATACTAAAAGAGTAAAAAGCCTTGCTTAGAGAAAACTTTTTTTGGTAGGTTACTTAATACACCCCCAAGTTTGTATACATATTTTACTATTTCCTGTGTTGATATTTTCCTTTTTATATAAACAATACAAAGCATAATCAGTTCTGGTTTCTAATATTTTATAGGAATGAATTAAAATGTTTAGAATCATGTTATGAAACCCTGCTTCCCAGAAATTTCTACTTTCCCAACAGGGGACTTGCACCTGAATCTTGGTTTCCAAAGTTTTTATTGGCGCTCAGCATGTAGGCAATAGACCATATGAATGAATGGTTTGATTGTTTTGTGTTTGACTTCCCTCTTGTGCTTTCACTCAGAAAAGTTGTTGCTCCTTTCATTCCCAGGTTAAGAACAGCACCTGGCAGCGCTCTGCGCTTGTGGCAGAGCTCAATGCTCCCTTGACTCCTCAGATAGCCTTCACTGCCAGGGAAGACAAGCCATCTCCTTACTCAATCCCTACTGCTTAATAAAGTGGCTTTTCCCTCATTATCTCCACTAATTCTAGACCCTCTCCTTTCTGACATCTATAAATTTATAGGATGAAACTGAGGAAGTTAATCACTCTGCTAAGTGGGTTTTATATGTGGTGACTATTAGGACAAATGATGCACACACTTGATGGAGACGGCAAGCAAACCTCGGATCAGCAAGCTTTTCTTTATACAGAGTCAGTTGAATAAAGAGGCAGTTGGTGGAAACTAGCACCGCGCCCTCTGGGGCAGAAAATGGGGCAGGGCTGAAGCAAGGGTCTGGGTTATACAGGTTTCATTTAGGGTGGGCCAGGAAGGCAATTCCTGGGGTTCATTGTATTGGGGTCAGGTGCCAATCAAGTGCAAGTTCCTTTTTTGTTCCTCAGCTTTGGCTTTGGCCTGGTATTTTAAATGACAGAAGCTTAGGGAAAATTACTAGTGTGCCTGGCCACACGGCTTATACATCAAAGGAGTTAGACGTATTTTCCATATCCTTCAGTAACTGATACACCAGACATCTTTTTTTTGGTGGTGGTGGTGGGGTACTGGCAATTGATCACAGGGTTTCACACATGCTAGGTAAGTGTGCTACCATTGAGGTCCGGTCTATTTATTTATTTTTGGTACCCGGGATTGCACTCAGGAACACTCAACCACTCAGTCACATCCCCAGCCCTATTTTGTATTTATTTAGAGACCGGTCTCACTGAGTTGCTTAGTGCTTCACCTTTGCTGAAGCTGGCTTTGAACTGGCAATCTTCATGCTCAACCTCCTGATCCACTGATATTACAAGACATGTACCCACTCCCCCGCAGGTTTATTTATTTTGAGACAAGGGTCTATTGCTAGGTTGCCCAATTTGGCTTCCAACTCGCCATCCTCGTGCCTCAGCCTCCTTAGTAGCTGAGATTACTAGTGTGCCTGGCCACACGGCTTACTGCATCAAAGGAGTTTGTAATCAACTACTGCTTGTCCCATCACTTCCTGCTTGATGGTGGAATGAAGAATATGGCAATTCTAAAGAGGCATAGATGTAAAAACTTAAAATATGATGAGACTTTATCACATGACCCTAGGTCTGAGGATCCCAACACCTAGTATATGAATATTCCCATTTTGTTTGCAGATGGAGATTTCTCCTTACCCATCCGTTAAGAAACCAGTACAGACCAAGTCCCTTAACATGGTGTGGGAAGCCTACAGCACAACGAGGCATTAACAAACCCTTTTCACAAACAGCTTTTTAAAAAGCTGTCTCTGGAACGAAACTGTTGGGTTCAAATCCTGATAATCATTTATTAATCCTAAATTGTAGAAATGAGGTGGGTGGATGTTCCGACATCACAGAACTGGGGTGAGAATCAAACCAAAAGAATCAATCCCTTTTAGGACCCTCCTATCCAGCGTCCGCTCACAGGAAAACCCCAGCTCAGACCGCTGGCATGGCCTGGTCCACATCGCGCAAGCGCAGCCTGGCCTCTTGAGATCCCTCCCTAAGCTCGCGTGTGCTAGTCGTCGGCGGGAGACTGGGTCTCGCGATGCGTGTGTGCGTGCGTGTGCGTGCGCGGTCCTCGCGAGCTCGCGCACGCCGCTTCTCGCAGTACCGGGCTGTGGCGGCCTCTTCCTCCTGGGTTCGGGGCTGCTCGGTGCGCGGTGCCTGCGGCGGGAGCTGGGCGCCGCTTTTGCCTCGCCGCTGCCGTCACTAACATCAGTGCCTGTCTCTCTGAATCCTTCCCTGCCCCGTGCAGAGTCGGCGGCTGGGGAGAAAGCGACGCCAGTGTGAGGTTCCCAGCCGATGGGCAGCCCCTGGACTCGCTGAGGGGCCGGGCTTCGAGTGGCCGAGGTAGGTGGGCGCGCTGCTTCTCCAGCTGGGGGAGCGGCGGCGGGGCTGCGGCGCCCGCGGGGAACGCGAGGACCATGCCTGGTAGTTAGTGAGGAGAGCGCTCCGACCCGCCCCTGCCAGGGGCTCTGGCCTGACCCAGAGAGAGCGCAGGACGCGGACGTAGCCTGCCTTCCCGGTGTGGAGCCATCACGGGAGAAATTCCTGCGGCGGGGCGGGGGAGGGCTCACCCTTTCTTTTCTTTGAGAGGTCAAAACCCGCAGTCCTCCCTCCGCCTTTTAAATAAGAGGCTGATTGGCGTCTAGACGAAGTGGCCTGGGTACTTCGACGCTTGCAGAACTCAAGAGTGGACAGACAGCAGGTTACGAATTTTGATGTTGGGAGGGTACACAGCCTTCTCTTTACTGTGGGCGCCTATCTTCTGCAAACTTGTTATTGCAAATACATTAATAATCGCTTTTGGACACACAACTGGTGATACATTTTCGAACGCCTTATGGATTCTGGCACTGGGGAAACTGCGCCGTAGGGCAAAGGGAGTGGAAAGAAGACAAAGGAGGCCGTTATTTATGTTCTGTCCTGGTATCAAAACTTTCCATGGTAGAGCAGGGTATGTAGCAACTGGCTTTTGTTGGATGGACTTTCAGAGTGATTGAGATGGGGTACAAACGAACACTTTATTTAGATTTATAAAATCGTACGTGGTGATATGTAATTATTAGTCAAATGTTCTTAAGTGTATATGTCTGAGAATTGTGATGTTATCTTTGGAGTAGAGCAGAACTTGGGATTTTTGAAAGGAAAGGTTTCTTCATCTTTAGAAAGCCCATGAATGCCTTTGAAATTACTAAAAATAGTTACAGTTCTTTATGTTGGCAGTAATGACTGCCACGTTCAAGATAAGGGAAAAGAATTCTTTTACCAAAAAAACAGCTCACTGAAAAGAGTTGGAGAGTTAAAAATACACAGTAAAAATCGTCAGGAACATCAAGTTTTAGGTTATCCTTTAAAAATTCGAATTTAGTCATGGTCAAAATATATTGAAGCTCTTAGTTGACCCCCCTACCTTCAGTGAATCATTTTAAAAGATATTCTTTAACCTTTAGTAGTCAACACAGTGGCTTCCATTCACTCCACACTTTTTAAAAATGTAGTAGTCAATCTCAACTTTCTTAAGAATTGTGCATGCATACTTTCAAAGAAAGAATCAAGAATAGTTAGCTGGCACTCCCTGGAGCGGAAGAAGGGAGAGCAATATGAAATGCAAGGTTAATGCTTATGTATTATGCAGATGCTGCATACAGGCATATATACCTGCATATAAATACATATGATGGTTCTGCACACAAGGATCTGATAGTGCTGATTCATATCTTAATAAGGTTGAAGTCTGAAAATTGGATTGTTTTTAGCTAATTCCTTTTTTAGTTAACTATTTACAGGAATAATTGTCATTAAGTTTCTTGTTTAGTTCCTTAGTTATTGGATAAGCAGAATATAATACTTATTTTTTGACCAGTGGTAGGGAAGGAAAAACAGAAAATTCACACTTCAGAAGTATTCTTTATTCAGTGTGTCATTGTTACCCATTGGAATATACAGCTGTACTCCTGTCCATTTTGTGTCCTAGTACTTAGAATACTGTCTTGCATGGAGTTGGCCCTCTATAAATGTGATCTATGTCAAAAGCAAAATAACACAATACAAACTTAAGGCATAAATTCCTGGAGAAGATTAAAGGAATCAGAAATGTGTGCTTTTTTTGTTTTTTAATTGTACATTTGAGTTTTTATTTTTTTCTCAGTGTAGTTTGGTATCTGAGTAAAGGATATGTGGCATCATTTTTTCTTCTAAAAGCCTAACATAATATAAGCTGAGACTATATATCCTGAGTGCTGGCAGATTGTGAATGTTGTCATATATTAAGATAAAATGAGGTAAAGGAAGTAAGGTCCAGAGGGAAAGTTTTGGTAAGGTTAGTGATACAAATTAAAAAGGAAAGACTATAAAACATTGAAACAGATTATAGACAGATTATTTTCTTCCTTAAGTGGCAGTCTCACCTGTGGGAGAAAGAACTTGTACACTTTTCTTCCTCTTTTTATGAGAATGTTCTAACAGGATGATTTCTGGTTTTGGGGGGAATGGTAATTGTTTTCATTTCCTTTATTTATTTATTTTTTTACAGAGCTGGAGATCAAACCCAGGGCCTCACCCATGCTGTGCAAGCACTCTACCATTGAACTATACCCTAAGCCCAATTTTCAAATAATAAAGTTGAAAAGGGGTTTACTTTTCCTCTGATAGTCCTTTCACAGGTCTCTGGGTTTCTCCTTGTATTTGCATATGATCTCTAGTCTAACTTTATGGGCAAAAAAAACGGTTATTTTGATTCCTATTTAATTCTTGTATCTATTTCTCAATTAGTGTATGTTGAGGAATGTGTGTAGTCTTTTTTTTCCCATTTGGAAGGGAAATCTATCTGTTTTTATATGTTACCAACAGAAAGGTTTGTGGATATTTGTCCTGGAAGTGGCTAAAGAGATGAATAAAAAATAGGAATATTTTAAGTTGAGTCTTATGATTTCATTGTAATATAGCTGAGTGATTCCCGTGGTGGGGAATGATTTTGCCCTCCAGGGAACATTTGACAATATCTGGAGAAATTTTCGGTTGTCACAAATTTGGGGAGTGGGGAGAAAGGAAGGTGTTGCTACTGACATCTAGTGGGTGTAGACCAGGGATGCTTTTTAACATCTTATAGTGCACAGGACAGACCCCACAACAATTTTCTTACCCAAATGAGTGTTGCTATTGAAAAACCTGCATACAAATATATATGATTTCTGTACTGTAAATTGTTTGTTCAGAATTCGGATCATCTAAATTCATATTTGATTAAACCATTTCCCTATGTGTGACCCTGGCGGTTACTTAAAGTCTTTGCCTGTTTCTGTAAAAATAGGGAAAATAATGTAAGTTTCTCATAGGCATGTCCTGAGAATTAAATCACATAATGTGCAAAGTGCCAAGTTTACTGCTTGGCACATATCAAATGCTTAAAAACTAACTTTAGGTAAATGTATGTTTGGAACTCATTTTTAAGATCTATCATTTCTTACCTAATATTAGAATTGGAGCTGGTAATGTGATATTTAATAAGTAATTCTCCTTATATCTTTGGGAAGTGAGTGAAAAAAAATATTCTTTTTTAGTGATTGTGTTTGGCCCAGTCTTGTTTTATATTCCCAGGCTTATAAAGCTCTTGCCATAAACAAGTAGCTTCTCATTTTAAATATTTTTCCTTCATACTTAAGACGTTAAGTCAGTTGTCCAGCAGTTCTATATCTATTGATTCTCAGCAAGCATTTAGTAATCCAACAGTTCGATTCTGATTTGATTCTCAATTCCTTTTGCCTTTATAAACTACACTAAGTTTACAGTGAAATCAGTGGCAGTGACTCAGGAGGTTGAGGTAGGAGGATCACAAGTTCAAAGCCAGTCTGTACAACGTAGTGAGACCTTGTCTCATAATATAAAAAGGACTGGAGATGTAGCTCAGTGATAAAGTTCCCTTGGGTTCATTCTCTAATATAAAATAAATAGGTAAATAAAAATTAAAAGGGCTGAGGATGTAGCTCAATGGTAGAGCACCCCTGGATTTAGTACTCTACAAATCATCATTTTCATTACAATAAAATTTTAAAAATGAGTTTACAGTGGTTTTGGCTCACTATTTATGACCTCTGGTAGTAACTATTTTCATAACTGAGGTGTTGATGCAGTTATACCCATATGAAGGGTGCAGGCAAACATTTAACAAATTGAAACTGGACCTTAATGTACATTTTGACTTTTTTCCTAAATCCAAATTAGAATCCATATCCTTATCTTTCTTACCTGTTGCAATGTAATACCATAGTCTGTAAGGCTATGGCTATTTATGGCTGGCTTGTCATGGGGTGGTATTAATACTTTTTTTTTTTTTTTTTTAATAGTACCTGGGATTGAACCCAGGGGTGCTTAACTACTGAGCCATATCCCCAGTCCTTTATATTTTTTATTTTGAGACAGGGTCTCACCAAGTTGCTTAGGGCCTTGAAAAGTTGCTGGGGCTGGACACAATATCTTTATTTTATTTTTATGTGGTGCTGAGGATCAAACCCAGGACCTCACACATGCCAGGCCAACGTGCTACCACTTGAGCCACATCCCCAACCCAACAGAGATATGAAAAATTGTGAGACATATGTGTATTAAGAATTATAATGCAAACAAAAAAGTACATGTATAATGGCATAAATTGGCGTGAACATACTTTATATACAGAGATACGAAAAATTGTGATCTATATGTGTAATAAGGATTGTAATGCATTCCACTGTTGTCGTGTATGAAAAAAAAGTTGCTGGGGCTGGCTTTGTATTTGTGATCCTTCTGCCTCAGCCTCCAGAGTCACTAGAATTACAGGCATGAGTTGTATGTGACTTAATACATTCCTTAAAAAAAAAAAAAAAAGTTGTCCATGGATTGATTGATTGATAGATAGATATGCAGTGCTGAGGATTGAACCCAGGGTCTCAAACATACCAGGCAAGCGCTTTACCACTGAGGCACAACTCCAGGCCCAATACATGTTTAGTATAGAGAAAGAAATCACATGGATATCCTCATAGTCAGAGACTTTAAACTGTTCAGGGCTCCTGTAAGGAAAGAAGATCCTCACAACACTTATCATCAAGGAAGAAAGCAGTGTTGCACATTGAAGATTTTGTCTTCAAAATAGTTTTTTTTTTTTTTTTTTTAATGGTTGTTAACCTTTTTTTTGTAGTATAAGTCTCTGTGTGTGTGTGTGTATTATAAACATATATAAAATGTTCACTCATTTTAACTAATGGGAACCTTATTTTCCCTTTTGTGTTGGTACTGCCTTCTGTTTGGCTAGAGGATGTTTGAAGGGAGTATGTACCATGGGTCGAGAGAGATTATGTTCTTTGCTTGGCACATTCTGTCCTTTGTAAAGTGTAACATACACTCAGGGTTCTGTATAAATAATAAATTACAATAATGATGGAGTCTCTCTTGTGGAAACTGTGGTCAGGTTAGAAGTATACATGTTAGGAATATAATAAAAGGCCAAAGGGAGCCATTCTAAGAAAGTTAGGCAAAGTGAAAAAAAAGAATCAGATTAATGAAGAGTTCTTGGCATTATTATTATCCTTTTGGGGTTTAATAATCTAAAAGAAAAAAGCCTACAAAATGTAACATTTGTTTTCTGCTTACACCAGCTCCTAATCAGTGAATATTATGATTACTAAATTAGTATTATGATTGAGTTATCTTATATGACATTTGTCCTACCCGTGATTAAGTTGAGAAAAACAAGGATCTTTGAATCTTATGTGTTTGTTTATAAATGGTCTAGAGTCCTGCCTGTCGGCCTAATTTTAGGTAGTCTACATAGTTGTTGGAAGACAGACTATTTTCCCACTGAATGCTGTCTGTCAGATATGTATTTGTGTATGTGTATTTATGCATATTTGTCTCTTATTTTTGGTAGAAAATGATGCATCCAGTTGCCAGCAGTAATCCAGCGTTCTGTGGGCCTGGCAAGCCTTCCTGCCTCAATGAAGATGCCATGAGAGCTGCTGATCAGTTTGACATATATTCCTCCCAGCAAAGCAAATACAGCCACACTGTCAGCCACAAACCAATGGTTTGTCAGAGGCAAGACCCATTAAATGAAACACACTTGCAGCCTACAAGTGGCAGAAGCATAGAGATAAAAGATGAACTAAAGAAAAAGAAAAATCTTAACCGATCTGGTAAGCGTGGCCGGCCTTCAGGAACCACCAAATCAGCAGGATACCGGACCAGCACAGGCAGACCCCTGGGAACTACCAAAGCGGCTGGATTTAAGACAAGTCCAGGCAGACCCTTGGGTACAACTAAAGCTGCGGGATACAAAGTCAGCCCAGGGAGACCTCCAGGTAGCATTAAAGCTCTATCCCGTCTTGCCGATCTTGGTTATGGCTGTGGCACTGCTGCTTTTCCTTATCCAATGATGCATGGCAGAGCAGTTCATGGGGTAGAGGAAACCAGCAGCGAAGTCAAGCCACCCAATGAATGAATGAGGCAGGAGAGGAGGGCCACATTTAGGAGATTGTGAATAATCCCAAAGCTTCATGGTTTTATTTTGTCATATAATTTTATATTCTGGACTTTCTAAATTTCTTTTTCTGTTGGATTTTTTCCCCCTGCTTTTGCTCAGAAGCTGCCATATGCTGGCTGACAGATCCATTCAGGGCATAGCAGTGGCACTGTATTTGTACATAGGTTTAAGCATAACACCTATCATTTTTGTCTTTCTTTTAGGGTTATGATTATGTCTTCTGTTTTATTACTACTTTTGGGCCATTCTAATAGATGCTTTATATGCTAAACAACTGAAACCATTATATACCTATATTAGTTTGTGAAGTAAGCCTACAATATAATAAAGATAGTATATAAGGTATTTTAACTGGTGGAGCAAAAAAAGCAAACTAATAATTTAGGATTACTTGAGGTAATGGCTGTGTGAGTTTTTGTAACATTTTCATGAGAGTACACAGCTGTTTGTATGCTTTGGAATTTACATAGATTTCAGATGTTAAAAACTTATTTTTAATGTTCTGAGTTTAAGCAGCTTCTTATTTATTGATCTACACGGCATTAATTGATTTAACCATTATTCCTAAAAGAATTCTTTAGTGTTTGCCTCTTAGCAGTGTTAGGTTATGTATTTTTAATTGCCTAAGAGCATATATACCAAACACTACAAACAATTCATATTTACAAAAAATTTAAACTATTTTATAAAAACTACACATTACATTTTTGGTGAAATACAATGCATTCTGAGAATAGCATTTTTAATATAATAGAAAAAAAACTTTCTTAAGGTCTGCATGTAGTTATAGTCACTATATTTTGATTTTCATATACTTGGTGGATTTTAAAGTATTATGTTTAAAAACATATTAGTAGTGCTCATTTCTTCGGAATTTTCTTAGTTTTTCTGAGAAGTTGTCCCATTGCATAGCACTTACTATGTTTTCAGGTTTATATTTACCAAAGGGCACAATTTGAGTGGTAGACTGTAAAATGGTATTAACAGAATGAAGTTTCCTGACTGTCAGAACCCAAATATTAAGAAATATAGAAATCCATCTATGCATGAAACATGTAAAAGAAAATTGTTGCTTAGTCTAATTAAAAATATTATTATGGCTCTAGTGAGACCACTTTCTCCAAAAGGATTCCCCGCCCCCGCCCCAAATAATGTTTGCTTAAAGCAAAATAGAAAAAAGGAAGAAAGTGTTGGGCAAAATGTACCATTGAGGTAGAGGGAAATCTCTCCTCCCTTCTTTCTGAAAGTGATGTTCCTTATGAATATGCATTTTATTCATCATGAGTTTGTTCTAAAAAAATTTACGAACTTCAGATTTGAAAAAAATTCCACTGAACTTTAAAGATACAATGTTTGTACTTCCAATTTTAAATGCCTTTGAGATTAAAATGTAGATTTGCAGGACCCAGAAACTTAAAATAATTAAAAACTTAAAAGGGCACATAATGTGTTTGTTGGGCTTGCTCTCAGTTAATGCAAACTGATTGCAAATGGATGTCATGTTTCATACCTTTTTTATCAGGAAAAAAGCAGCAAGCCTTCAGGTGTTCCAGTGATGCCTGACACAATGAGCTGGACTTTATGCTGCTCTTTACAGTAAGAGGTGTTGCATTTTTTGTGGGGACTTTGTGCACTGGCGACTAAGACAGTGACCTCAACAATATTAGCTTTGCACAAACCATAGCAAACAATGTTGGATGACTACATAATTAATTGTAACATTCTGGCAGCTAAATTGCTACAAAAGTTTCTTCTTGCAGAAGCTTAGAATATAAAACTTTGAATAATTTACTCAGAACAGTATAACTTCTGACACACACAAATGCTTGCATCTTTATTCATGTGTTCATCTATCCAATTCTCTTCACTTAGCTGTTTCTCAAGATGATGTTCAGCAGTGGCTGCTTAGAAATACTTTCAAGCTAGTTCTTGAAGACAGTTTTTTTAATGTACACCATTGTTAAGGATTTGGTTGCATGTTAAGTCCATTAGACATTGCCCTTTCAGTTTCTTTTCATCTCTGATTTTGTTAAACATGCTCTTCCTTATATCCCCTGCCTTTTCCTGCATTCATTCCCTCTCACCCCAGCACATCTACTCAGTGGTGCTGTGCTGTGTGTCAGAAGATAAAAGCAGGTGTATTATTGTATAATGAATTTTGTATACATGTTTCTGAAATGGTGAAATCAGCTAAAGGAGGTATGTTTATAATAGTGTTTATTATCAGGAGCTATGTCCCAGGAAAAAAGGGGGACAAATGGCTATAGTTGTGAATGGATAACATCTTTTAGAAAGCCAAGTTTATTGTTCATGTGAACAGTTACCTGGACTATTAGATCTATATGCTGGAGAACATCTCCTGATTCCACTTAACTTTTCTCCTTGTGAACAGTTCACTGGTGCCATGCTGAAGAGAAAGACATATAAGTGATAACATGAATGAAGTCTTAAAATATAAAATATTTTTACTTCTATATAATCTAAAGACTACATCGTGCATCTTTTGTAACACTGTCTCTTGTCATGATAAACACTGAAATAGCATGTTAAACAGTTGCCTATACTTTTAATATAATCAGTTGGGGAAAACTGGCCTTTCCCCCCACTGTATGATTGTTCCTTCAAAGGTAAATTGCTAATTTTATACTGTGTAATTCTATTCTTCACAAAATAGGTTTCACTATTCTATGTTAAACTGTTGGTCAGAAAATGATCTGCTTTTCAAGTAAGTTTGCTTTACTCTTTTCTTTAAAAAATATTTTAACACGTCTTATTTACTATTGTTATTAATAAGCTAACACAGATAAAATTTTCATTTTTTCACAGATGAAACCTTGCATAACTAATCTTTAGTATGGGATGATTTTGATACTATGTGGGGGTTTTGCACTGGATATTAAAAATATTGGCACAATGTATTGGAAGAAAATTAGTATCTTGTTTGATTTTCAATATTTGGGGACATTTTTAAAATCAGTGTTTCAATTAAACTATAAAAATTCTATTTATTTACATTTTAAAAGAAACATCTATCAAACTGTGTAAATTTACATATATTTTCATGAAATAAGAATAAAGTTTCTTTGAGTTAACAAGGGAAAAGAAGTCTGGATCCGTTAGGTTAAGGGTAATTCATCCAGTGTAAGAGTAACCACAGTGTATGAGCTAAAAAAAAAAAAAAATTAATAAATAATAAACTTCTTTATATTCTGTGAAGCTTTAAAAGAATAATTCAGGGGATACTGATTATAACTGCTACTCTGTTAGTCATTGTTCCCATATGCAGTAAAATTTTATGATCCTTTATAAATGTGTTTATAAAAGTGTTCACAATAGTTCAAAATATTTTTTTCCTTGGACAAAATAATTCCATGCTATTATGTTTTTGTTTTATTATAGCTTAAGTATTTACTCTTAAACTCTAGAATATATCTAAATCTTTTCTTTGGTTTTTCCCTCTTCTTTCAAGTAGATAAATCTGTGCCCTCACATATAATGTATTTGATTTTTGGGAAATTTAATGCTATAGTAAATCCAGTGTGTGATTTAAAGTAATCAGACCACTTTGATTCTTTAAGTTTTTACAATTTCCTTTCCCACATAATTATGGAGAAAATAATTACCAATTACCTGATAATAAGCACGCTGTCCTCTGCTGTAAAAAGTCTGAATAGATACTGTGTATGTTTTTATGTCCATGAACTTGAGCTACTCGTGTGCAATTATGTGTATGGGAATGGAGTAGTGTTCATGATTTGTATCTACATCATCATATGGATGTATATTTATTAATAAAGTCATTACTTTAAAACCAACTATGTATTGACTACTTTTATTATTTTTAGCATAGTACCTTTTCATGTAGAGTAATAATAAATAGTATACCTTTTTCATGATTGTGGATAGTGTATTTTTTTTTTAATTTCACATTCTGAAATCTACCCCTCTAAACATTTTGTTTTTCTTAAAATGGTTATATATTTGTAATTTTAAATCCTTGAAAGTATGTTTACTTGTCTTTCCATTTTCTTCCAATTATTAAGCTACATCAGGCTAATATTCTAAGGCTTATATTTAAATCTAAACATTATTGATCCCTTTGGTTTAAAAAAATTCAGGTGGCGCATGCCTATAATCCCATTGACTTGGGAGTCTGAGGCAAGGTGATTGCAAGTTCAAAACCAGCCTCTGCAACTTAGTGAGGACCTCCCTAAGCAATTTGGCGATACCTTGTCTGTAAATAAAATATTTTTAAAAATGGGCTGGGGATGTGGCTCAATGGTTAAGCCCCTGTGGGTTTAATCCCCCCCCCCCAACCAGATTTTAAACATGGCTCATTGTATTCTAATTTTTTATGTTAACTTTAAAGAGACCAGCATGGGCATCTTTCATAATTGTCAAATATCTGAGATATTAAAAATATGCTTTCCCCTAATTATATGAACGTATATTTTTGTTTTTCCCATTTTCTCTGAAGCCCGCAGATTATCTAGAACAAAAGTTGGCAAACTACATCCCACTGTCTGTTTTTGTAAATAAACTTTTACTGAATATTTGTTACTTTTTAATTATTACTTTTCATTTTTTTTTTCGTTTTGTTTTTATGTGGTGCTGAGGATCAAACTCTGCCTCACATGTGTGAGGCAAGTGCTTTAGCTCTCAGCCCCAGCCCCAGCCCTGATGTTATGTGTTTACTGATCATCTGGGCTACTTTTGCATTACAGTAATGGAGTTAAGTTGTGACATAAAACCTGCAAAGCTTAAAATATTTACTGTCTGCTCCTTTTCTTCATGAAAAAAATCCCTTACGTAGAAAGATAAGTTGGAATAGAAAAGAGCAAATAAAATTTGAAGTTGAATTTCAAAAACCTACAAAAGAATTGATGGTGCATGCCTGTAATTCAAGCTACCCCAAAGGCTAAGACTGAAGGATCACACATAATCTTTCAAACATCATATCTTAGCAACACAGTACACTGTAGAATGCTGGTTATTTACTGTCATGATCAAGCATGGTGACTGGGAGCTGCATCTGGCTGGCTGCCACTGCCCAGCATCACAAGAGAGTATCATACCCTATCACTAGTCTGGGAAAAGATAAAAATTCAAAGTATAGTTTCTATTCAGTGCATTTAAGTTGACCCATCATAGATGGTGACTGTATACAAGACAATGGCATCTGTGAATGATGACAGTTTTACTTCTTTCTAAACTTTGCAATTTTAATTGCCTTTTTATTCCCTCTTGCACTTGCTATAATCATCAATACAATGTTGAATAGAAATGGTGAAAGTGGATACCACTGCCATTTTCCTGATGTGAGAGGGAAAATGTTCACTCTTAACATTATTAAGCATTATTGTGTTAGCTGTATGTATATGGTAGATGTCTTCTAACAGATTGAGGAAGTTTTATTTATCTATTTTTGGTATGGGGGAGGTTGTTGAACCCAGGGGCCTTAACTGAGCCATGCCCTTTTTATATTCTATTTAGAGACTGGGTCTTGCTAAGTTGCTGAGGCTGTCTTTGAACTCTTGATCCTCCTGCCTCAGCCTCCTGAGCCACTGGGATTACAGGCATACCCCACCATGCCTGGCCCCTTTTAAGTTTTTAGAGTTCTTTATCATGAATGCATGTTGGATTTTGTAAAATGCTTTTTCTGCATCTGTGCATTATGTCATTCATTTTGTGGTGTTCTACAAATGTGTATTCTACAGCTATGGTGTATTATATTAGTTGATGTTTGGATGTTAACCCAGTCTTATATTTCTAATATATATGTGGCATAAAATTATTTTTATATATGTTGCTGAATTTGGTTGGTTGTTTTCTTTATTTTTCCTTCTTTGTTTTGTTGTTTTTTTTGTTTTTGTTTTGAAGTGCTGGGAATGGAACACCCAGGGCCTCGTGTATGCTGGGCAAGCACTCTACCATTGAGTTACACTCCAATCTGATTTGATAATACTTTCTTAGGGTATTTTGTCACATAAATATTTGAATCAGGATCCAAACATTGGTCCCAAATTATATTTAGTTGATATGTCTCTTAAGTCTCTTTTATGGATTCCATCTCTTTTTTTCCCCCTCCTCTTATTTATTGTTGATGAAATTGGGTAATTGTCTCCCAAATTCTGGATTTTGCTAATTGCAGTATTTATTTCTCTAACTTCTATAGTTCTGAAAACCTGTAGAGAGATCTAGAGATGTGATGAGATTCCAATTTTATTTTTTGTCGTCGTTGTTTTTGTTTTTTGGTACTGGGGATTGAATCCAGGGATGCTCTACCACTGAGCTATATCCCCAGCCCAGTTTATGGTTTGAGATAGAGTCTTAGCTAAGTTGCTGAGGCTGGCCTCAAACTTGCAATCCTCCTGACACAGCTTCCACATTGCTGGGATTACAGGTGTGCTCCATCGTGCCCAGCTTCAATTTGATTTATTGAGCAAGGGTTTTTCTTAGGTGATATTATATACTTCTGTTGCATCATGTTAGGTTGCCCATAATCACTGGTTGTCTCTTTTTGTGATATTAAAATTGATCCGTGAGTCCAGGTATTCTTAGCCTTGTCCATGCATTTAAAAATTCTTCATCTTTTTCCTTAATAATTTTAGTAGCCATTGGTGATCTTGGCTTAGCTCCATTCTTTCATTAGAGGTTAGAAAATAACTTTTTAAAAAATTATTATTAGTTTTAGAATTATCTGCAAACTTTAGCAATGTATTGATTTAAAGAAAATTTTTTATTTTAATTAGTTATACATGACAGAAAATAACTTTAAATTCTATTGTTTCTTTAATAGCTCAAATACTTCTATATAAAAAGTTTCCCCTTGATCAAATATTTGGTATCCTGAAGTACACTTTGTGCAGGAAAGACAGGTAAATGCCTGATTCTCTTTACCTACTAGTTTTCAGAATAATGAATTGGTTCTTCAGTATCTTCCAAAATTATTAAAAGTTTTTAATTTTAGTATGGACTCACAATTGTAATATGCAGTGCATTTCAGTTAATACTGAGATTTATCCATTTTGATGTTCAAATTGTCCCATCTTTGGTTAGTATGAGCTGGTTTGGTTCCTTGGTCAGACTGACATGACCCTCCTATTCTTTGATAGCATCCTTGCATTTTGGTTTGACAAGATGTCCCAACTAACAAAATGGCCTTTTAGATAGCAAGGCAATCTTGAACAATTTTTTTGAACTTTAGGATATGTGATTTTTTAGAATAATTTTGTAGAATTGCTATTTTACAAAATATTTATAAACTGAAGGAAACCTTAACAATAACACTATTATGTTTTTAAATTTTCTTGTAAATACAGGATTTTTTTTTTTTGTACCAGGGATGCTGAGTTGTTTAGGGCCTCAGCCTCGCAAGCCACTGGGATTACAGATGTGCGCTGCCATGCCTGGCTTTCACAAAGGGTCTTGCCAAGCTGCTGAGGGTCTTGCTAAATTGCTGAGGCATTTCCTGCTTTGATAAATTACCCTCTAAACTTTTTTTTTTTTCTCTCTGCTTTGCCCCTGCCATAGCAGCCTACCAATGAGAAGAGAAGTATTTGAATAAACTTGTTCTTTTCATGGCATCTAGTAAAGTACTGTTTTTCTTAAAGTTGGTTTATATGAAGCTAGATTTTGTTGACCTAAGCCTTTGTGAAATGTTTGAACCCTGATTTTTTTTTAATATTTAATTTTTAGTTGTAGATGGACACAATATTTTATTTTTTACGTGGTGCTGAGAGTTGAACCCAGTTCCTTATGTTTGCTAGGCAAGCGCTCTACCACTGAGCCACAACCCCAGCCCGAACCCTGATTTTTGATAGATACTGAGTACTGGTAAAGCATTCTTCTAGGGCACTCTGGTCTATTTCAGTAACCTATTTGATTTCATCTTTCTAATTTGATATTTGAAATCTTTTTAATTTTGTTTCTATTCGTAGCAAAACACATTGAATCTGGATTTGAGTCCCTGCACAATTACTAGCATATTAACTTTGTCAAGTAGCTTTTTTTCTTTTTAAGGAAAGAAAGTGGAGAGAAAGAAATGAGAAATAGGGCTGGGGATGTGGCTCAAGTGGTAGCGTGCTTGCCTGGCATGTGTGTGGCCCGAGTTTGATCCTGAGCACCACATACAAACAAAGATGTTGTGTCCGCCGAAAACTAAAAAAATAAATATTAAAATTCTCTCTCTTTAAAAAAGAAAAAGAAATGAGAAATAATGTATATGGGCACTTTCCATACTGACTGAGAGTTTGGAAACTAAAATACCTAACATTTTGTTATGATGATTTAAATTTTGTTTGTTAATTTAAAAATAATTAAATTTAAATGTCTTCAATTAATTTACATGAAAATGTTTTGATATAATGAATTCTGAATTCCTGATCCATGCAAATGGTGTGAGATAATAAATTATTATTGTTTTAAGATACCTAGTTTTGAAGTAATTTGTTATGTAGCACTAGATAACTGATAACATGAATCACTCATCTAAGGAGTCTCTAATTCCTGAAATGTCCCTCTCAAAACAAGGTTAAGGGTCTTGGAGGTGTGACTTGGTGGTAGAATCCATGGTTAGCATGAGCAAAGGCTTGGGTGTAATTCCTAGTACTTCAAATAAGCAAAAGGTTAAAACTAAATCATGCTAATATTAATTTGTTAATTTAACCACCATTATCATCGACTATTGCTTTTCTTCTTTTTTTAAAAATATATATGTGTACTTGTAGATGGATAGAGTACTTTATTTATTTATTTATTTTAGAGAGAGAGAGAGAGAGAATATCTTTTTTGTAGATGGACACAACACAATGCC